AATGAGAAAAATGGTGTATTCATTTTAGGTTTCTGTAACGCTTCCAAGGGAAGATGTCCAGTGAGCAGTGAGACTGGGATCAGGAACTCCATCTTTGTTGGAGAGTCCAGAGAAACAGCACACTGAGCACAGTTGGAAAGGGATGTCTTAGACAAGGGACACCCATCACATGGTGATAAGAGAGAGGGGTAGATAGGAGTATGTTGGTTTGACTTCCATTTTTCTAAGACTGTGGGAGTTATGTGTTGAAGGAAGGAAGGAAAAGAAGGGATTGTTTAAAAATTTCTATATACCATAATCTTTTCATATATGTGGAAAATGTGGTAAAGAGAAGATGAAGGAAATATAAAAAAGCTGCAAAAAAAATCCAGTGGAAGCTGTGTGATTATAGTACATTGTTTTCCTGTACTTAGAACATAAGCAAAGGTCTGAAACAGCTTTCAGTTTGGTTTACTCAACATTGGAATTTGCATAGAATAGTCAGTGAGGGAAAAGGGTCAGAATTTTAGAAAGATGTTCGAATCATGAAGTATGGTATTAGAGCTGGATATGAAAAATAGGAGAAGTAAGATTATAACAAAAGGTATAATTTATTGACTACTACATACCTGATTCTTAGCACTTTGTATGCATTTTATCATTAATATCATGAATCATTTTGGGATATAAGTGAAAAAAAATACTTTGCCTTTTTCCAGATGAGAAAACCAAGTAACTGGGAAATTAAATAAATTGTCCAAGATCATGTAGCCATCATTTTATGAAAATTCCTTTCACCATACTTTTAAAAATGGTTTCATACCAAAATTATATTCCTCAAATATAGAAAATGAAAAAATGGTGATTCTATTGTTTTTGTGAGATTTTTAAACTAGAGGAATGTCAAGGCTGACCTTATTCTTCCTAAATTATACAAGTATCTCAACACATGCTATTCAAAAATAAATCAGTTTGGAATGAGTCATGAACAAATATTGTTAAACCCCAACTTCCTAATGGTAGTGGATATCTGTGCACAGCTCTGAAATAAAAGCTCTTATTCTGTTTACTTAAAAAAGAAAAAACTATGAAGTTGGAGGTATTAATGAGGTTTAACACCTGTTCACGTTCAGTGAGATTAAAGGACTTAGTCACATGTGCCCAGTGAGCTTCCTGATTGAGAATTCCGGGCCCCAGCCGCAGGAGACCTCTGTGCATGATTCTTTCTCTATTCCTATTTGTTTGGGCGGCCAGGAGAAGCTTCCTCAGTCTTCCATCTTCAGTAAACCTTCAGGCATGCTAGAGATTTGTTTACAGACTAAGGATAAACTATGCAATAAGATCACAGTCAAAAGAAAGTTGTTACCTTAATAGTAAAGTAAAGGCCTTCCTCACACTATGTTTCCATCATCAGTAAACCACGCTGTCCACCTGACTTTAGCATTGTTACAACTGCAATCTAAATTACTCTCCATCCTTTCACTTATTTATTTGTGGACAGGAACTAAATACCACAGCATGAAAAATAAATAAATATGCAATGCAAGTTTTACATGTCTGGTTTTAGTTAAATTTGCTGTTTTGAAATAACTGTTGTGGTGTAAATCATCCTTGAAATTAGAGGCAGAAATTGGATTGAGGAATAATGTTGAGCATGACCATTTTTTCACTTATATCGAGAAGGAATTTTTAAATCAAATATAAAAATTATAAATTAGAGGTACAGCCATAATATAAAATTTTGCATACATAGGAAAAACTGATCTGTACCAGGTTTTCCTGACCAAGAAAGTGATGAAGGAATGAGGTTAAATCTGGTTATAATACTAAATTTCACAGAATAGTTGTGTATTGCATTTTTAATTTCAAGGAAAGAGCCAGGTAGAAATTATCTTAACTTATATGTATTTTTTGTAACTCCAGCACTCTGGGATGGGGAGGCAAGAAGACCCTAAATTTGAGCCCAGCCTAGGAAAGTTTGTAATTTAGCAAGACTGTGTCTCATGAATAAATAAATAGGCTGGGGCTGAGGCCCAGTGTGAAGACCCCGGGTTCAATTCCCACTATAGCTAAAGGAAAACAAAAGAAAGGAATGAAGAGAAGGTCACTAGGTAAAGATTGCTAGCTAGATCTGGTGATAACTTACCTATGTAATCTTCTGATAGCAGATTTCCAGATATTTCCCCATTTCCTTTTTCCCATGAAACTGAGCATTTAAGAATGAGTTATTCATTCCTCCTTGTTTAATATACAATAATGATTTCAAAGGGAACAGCGAGTCTTATAGTATGTTGGGTGGTAGTCTAAATACAGTAAGTGACTTAAAAGTAAACTGGGAGATAGATCTTTCACAAATGGGACAGGGTCCAAGAGATGGAGGAAAGAGGGACGAGGGAGTGAGGGAAGGGAAACAGATGAGAAGAATGAATGTGTGTTAGGCACATGTACCAACTCCCCATTAAGAATATATTCCTTATGTACCACAAACGTGTACTGATGAAATAAATAAAAAACAAACCTCCTTTAAAGCTATTTCCTACCTTTAACCAATGTGTAAGTGAGAAAAACAATACTGATATAAATAACATAGCAAGACACCTGATTTAGAGCTAGATGCTATCATAGTTTACAATGCCATCATAGTTTATAATGGAGAGGAGCAAAAGTCATCTGTAAGTCCCTATCTTGTCACAGAGACTAGACTTGATCAGTAGTTCTCAAAGTGTTGACCTAAGGCCAGTAGTATTAGCACTTCCTGCGAACTTGATAACCAAATTCTAGAGATCAAGCCTAGAGCTCCTGAGTCAGGAGTTGTTGGGCAGGACCCACAGTGTGCAGTGTAACAGCCTTCTGGAAGTTTCTGACAAAGCTTGAGTTTGAGAGTTACTGAAACATCTAAAAAATGGATTCTGTTTTGTTCATCTAAGTCTGTATTATTCTGGTTGTTTCTCCTAGCAAGAAATAGGAAGAATGACAATAAACTAAATCCTCTAATAATTGTAGAACATCATTATTGACAAAAGTTGCTAATTGATGGCTGTGTGTGTGTGTGGTGTGCTCAAATGAGCAAGCACATGGTAGGTGCTGGATATTGAACCTAGGGTCTCATTCAGGCTAGGTGAGCCATCTACCACTGAGCTACAGCCCCAGCCTGTTTCTTTACTCAAAAAGAAGTCCTGCTAGTTAAAATGAAATAAGAAGTTATGTCAGAGAATAGAAATGTAAAAGAGATTTTCATAAACCAAGTAGTCATGCAATCTCAAATTGTTTCTCCTCTTTGATAACTGCCTTCCTCCCTCCCTTTCATTTATATGAAATCTAAACTGCAAGTTCACTCGGTAAGTCACAGGGAATAGTACTACTGGAGGGTAGGAGAAGTTAAGTGGTCTAATTACTTACATTAGGTTATGGTTCTTATCTGGCTATATCAGAATCCGCTGGAGACTTGTGAGAACTCAGATTGCTGCCCAGCCCTCCTCCTCCTGTGCCTTCTGATTCAGCAGGCAGCAGTCAGGACCTGGAATTTGCATATCGAAGTTCCCACGTGATGAAGGTGCAGCTACTGTAATACTTTGCTTTAGTATTCAGGAGTGCACATGTCCCTTTTCTCTAATTTTCCAGGCATATTTAAGCTGTTTTTCTCACACTAAATGGCCCCACCATACCTTTGTGTTTTGTCTGACATTTTCATAAACTTTGCTGTAGAAACTGGATCAACAGGAGCTTCCTCCCTCCAGTTTGGTTAATGTGCAGAAAACATTCTTTGCTCCTTTTACAGCTGTCAGGTAGTATTTGTAAATAAAAATGGAACAGATGAAATGTTTGGCTTTGGTTGATATTTCACCATGCTAATAAAATGCAAGAATTCATAAAAGTGAGGACATTAGGGCTTATGCAAGTGATATGTGAATATTTTCTTAGTGCTAATTGTGTTAGCTGAGTTTCATAGGTTCTATGCTTCATTTTCTACAATTTTTAGAAATTCACTAGAATATAACACTGAAAAATAGTGAGAATATTCTTTAATGAATATATTCAGAGACTTTCGTCTTTATTCGTATTTCAGCTCAGGTATTTGAAACTTTTATACAAAAATGCTTTTGTTTAACTTACTCTCTGGCTCTCAGCTATGATGAATATTCTCTCTGATAGAAAACAAGTGTTGCATAATTGCTCCTGGGCAACGTTAGTTCCTAATTAGAGCAAAACCGCCACTCTTAACCACCCTTATGTTTGAAAAATCTGTCAGTAATGTGCATTAAACATTATAATCAGCTAACATTTATTGCTTTAGTAGCTAACAGGTTAGATATGCTTGTATACAATGACATATACTAAAGAGTAGATATAAAATAAGATGCTTAAGTAATTTGAGCACAACAATTTAAGGGTATGTAACTGAAACTATTAAAAAGTATTGAAAAAAGTGGTATATGCCGGGGATTTAGCTCAGTGGTGCCACTGCCTGCCTCACAAACCCAAGGACCTGAGTTCAATCCCTGGTACAAAAAAAAAAAAAAGAGTATTGACAAGTAGGTACCTAAAATATGTATTATAGATGTTTATTTTAAATAGGTAGATATTGGAATAATAGGCCAGACAATTTTAAGTAATAACTTATATGTAACTCCATTGATTCAGAATGATAGCTTTATTTTGATTTAAAAAATCAACTCTTGGAAGGCAAGGGGTAATAGGACAGTGATTTTTAAAGGGAAAATGAAAATCAAAATAAATATGAAAAGGACTGATATAAAACACTGATAACATTTACATTGAAAGGAAGAATGTTTATATAGCCAATTTATAATTTAATTATTAATATGTAAGCTTTTGATGTTTACATGGTCACTTTATGAATTTCTCAAAAGGTTATTTGATGTCACAAAGAGTAAGTACCAATAATCAAGAGGCAATTTTTTTTGTTTGTATCTAGCATGCTTTAATATGTAATAAACTATTATTTTACTAAGTAGACCTGAACATGGATTTTCTATTTCTCTTTATCAAATCATTAAAAGGGAGAAGCAGGATCCCCAGGCCTACCTGGCCATGATGGACCTCGGGGAGAGCCTGTGAGTACTTTCTTACCTCATTTCTAAAGGATGATGTTCTTGATGTATCACGAAATCCCATGACTCTAAATTCCTCTCCTCCTTTCCCTGTTCTTGTTCAGTGACCTCCAGAATTTGGCTGTTGTAGAGGTGTGTGTGGAGCATTGTACAATGATACCAAAATACTGAATTCTCTTCCGCCAACCAGGAAGCATGTTGGGTAGGGTGTGAATCGCAGCCACCACCCTTCATGTCCAGACAAGTGGGTAGCACAGACATCACAATCTGGTGCAGAGCCTTTAATCCATGTCACTTTGTCATGGGTGCATTATTTCATAGTGTGCCCTCTGACCCCATGATGTCAGTGAACACCAGGGACAGAGAAACATAACATTAAGAAAGTACTAAATTAGAATACTACATATCTGTACTTTAGCAAGTAGACAAGACGGTCTTCAAAGAAATTTGGAAATGTACTTGTCCTGCTTTTATTTATACAATTTCTCACAGTCAATGATTCTTCATTTATTAGCACATTTCTGCAGTATACATTTAAATTGCAGATGACATTTGATTCATCAACCTTATCTATTCTTAGGGAACTTGTAATTTGCTTGGGGAGAAACTAGGTCAAGAAGTGAAATAGTGTGTATATTAGCATTTGTCACAGAGTACTCGTTTGACACATCAGAATCCACACACTGGATATGGAGACGAAATTACAAAGGCTTCTTACGTAAGGCAAAAGAATTGAACTACTCTTAGCATTCCTCAAATTCTACCTGAATTTTTATTGTGTGTATTATGATGCACTGGAGCAAGTTCTTTGTAAAGTATCTGCCTTTAAGAAGTTGCTAAAATAATTTGGGAGACTGAAGCAAAACAAAGCAAATGATTCCTGACATAAGGGCGTTTATAGCAAATGCCAAGTATGAACTAGACATGGGCTCAGAAGGCCAAGGTGAAAGTTTTTGCTCTTTGCAGCCTGGCGGAGTGGAATAGGTCACTTCGTGTCTCTGAATGCCTTTCTCTTCATATAAATACTGTAGACATTTATAAAGCTTTTTAATAATATGGCTTGTATGAGGCTCACACAGGAAACTTGAAAAAATATAAAAGTATCACACACATGCATAGAATTATTCTAAATGCTAAAGGAGTGTAGGAAGACAATCCTGCATCTTGGGTGGTTGAGAAATTTTTGCCAAGCATTTGAGGCTAGACTGGGTGAGAGAGGAGAGGGAGGGAGGGAGAGAGGGAGAGAGAGAGGGAGGAGGAGGGACTGTTTGAAAGTACATAGATGAGGTGGTTAAAGATGTACCCAAGAAACAAGGAAATAATCTAAATGTAGACCTGAGGAGGCAGTGAAAGGTCCCTGTTGGATGATGGGAAATAGGAAGGTAGTGAGGACTGTAATATAGAGATCCTGGTATATGTAAAATATGGTTGGAAAGGAGAAGACATTGAAATAATTCCTGAGTCATTTTGACAGACAATGCATATTTCAATGTCTTCTCCTTTCCATCTATATTTCACATATACCAGTAGCTTATAATCTGCCTGCAAAACATTCTTTTTATTTTATCTTCTTTTTATCCTCACAAAAATCTCAATGGCAAGTGAATTAATGTTTTACCTTCCTAAATTACAGTTCAGGATCTCTCTCTCTCTCCCTCTCTCTCTGCCTATGCTGATGTCTTCAAGAATTCTACGTAATCTATCTTTGAGCAGATTTAGTGTTTTTGTTTTAATGTTTAAATCTTTGATCCATGCAAATACTGCATGGTGAAAGATATGGGTCTAATTTTAATCTTTGGAAAGTTGACATCCAGTTTTTCCAGCACCACATTTTAAAGAAGCTATCACTCTTCCAGTGAAGGTGTTTGGCTCCTTTGTCAAAGATAAGGTAGCTGAGTATATCTGGAGTTCTTTCTGCATCTTCTACTCTGTTCCATTGATCCTCAAGTCTGTTTTGTTTTTGTTTTTGCCAGTACTATGATATTTTTTATCACGGTAGTTCTGTAGTATAATTTCAAGTCAGGGATTATGATGCCTTGCCTTTGTTACCTAGAATTGCTTAGGTCTCTTCTGGTTCCAAATGAATTCTAGGATTATTTTCTTTAATTCTGTGAGATATACTGTTAGAATTTTGGCTAGGATTACTTTAAATCTGTATGACCATTTTTTTTGTTTCATTTTGTTTTTTGCTACTAGGGATTGAACTCGGGCCCTTGATCTTGCGAGGCAGGAGGCAGAACCACTGAGCCAAATCCCTAGCCCCTGACCATTTTTACTATATTGATTCTTCCCACCCAAGAACAAGGGATATCTTTCCATTTTCTGATATTCTATTCAATCTCTTTTTTTTCAAAGTACTGTTGTTTTCAATGTAGTTTTACTTCCTTCATTAGATTGTTCCTAGGTATTTCATTTTTTTAATTTTTTGGATGCTATTGTGAAAGGTGCTGTTTCCCTACTTCCTTTCTCAGTGAGTTTGCCACTCATATACAGGAAGGCTATTGATTTTTGAGTCTTGACTTGTATCCAGCTATACTCCTGATTTTGGTCTGCTGGTGGAGTTTTTGGGGTTTTCTATGTAGAGTGTTGTGTCATCTGCAAATAATGATAATTTAAATTCTTCCTTTCCTACCCATATTCTTTGATTTTTCTCTTGTCTAATTGCTCTGGCTAATATTTCCAGAACTATAATGAACAGGTGTGATGACAGTGGACATCCTTGCCTCATTCATAATTTTAGAGTGAACATTTTCAGCTTTTGTTCATTTAGAATGATGTTGGCTGTTAGTTTGTCATAGACGGCTTTTATCAGGTTGAGGTAATTACCATCCATTCTAACTTTTTGTAGGATTTTTTTTATCATGAATGGGTGTTGGGCTTTGTCAAATGCTTTTTTATGCATCTATTGAGATGATCATGTGATTTGTTGTCTTTAGTTCTGTTGATATGGTACATTACATTTATTCATTTGCATATGTTGAACTATCCCTGCATCCCTGGGAAAAATCCTACTTGGTTATGATGTATAATCTTCTTGATGATTCGCTGCATTCTGTTTGCCAGTATCTTATTGAGGTATTTTGCATTTATGTTCATTAGAGAAATAAGCCTGTAGTTCTCTTTTTTGGTTGAATCCTTTTGTATTTTGGAATAAAGCAATGAATTTCAGAGTATTGCTTCCTTTTCAATTTAATTAAAGAGTTTGAGAAGTAGTGGCTTTAGGTCTTCTCCAGACTTCTTGTAGAATTTGAAAGTGAATAAATCAGGGCCTGGGCTTTTTTTTCTTTCATTGGTAAGTTTTTAATTATATCTTCAATTTCACTGAATGATACTAGGTTATTTAGAATTTTTATATCTTCTTGATTCAGCTTTGGTTATTTATATGTATCTAGGAATCTGTCCATTTCTTTTGTATTTTCCATCTTATCAGAATACAGTAGAATCAAAATAGGTATTGATGATCTTCTGGATTTCTGCAGAGTCTACTGTGATTTCACCCTTTTCATTTCTAATTGCATGGATTTGAGTCTTTCCTGTCCTTTTTTTTTTTTTTCCTTTTTTGATAAGGTTGGCCAATGGTCTGTCAGTCTTTCAAAGAATCAACTCTTCAATTCATTGATTCTTTGTATCATTTTCTAAATCTCCATTGCATTGGTTTCTGCTCTGATCTTTATAATTTCCTCCCTTGTATGTGCTTTTGGTTTGACTTTCTCTTTTTGTAGAAGCTTGAGGTTCAAAGAATTCCATTTCCTTCCTATGCTGGGTGTTTGTGGCTTCTATCATTTTGCTAAGATCCTCTATTTTTAAAAATTTGTATCTGTTCTACAGTCATTAATTATGCCCTTCATTATGCTTACCATCTCTGTAGTTTCCTGAGAAATTATTTCTGATTTGATTTTTTTCTAGAACCTCTTTCATCTGCTTTGTTACTTTCACTGTTACCACTTCAGAGAGTCCAGATGTTTGACTTTTGGATTGTTCCACCCCATATTCCCCTGGATTTTCCTTTGGTGAGCTGGAACTCTTAGTTTACATCTTGTTTGTGTGTTTTCTTATTTTGCACTTTTTTTTTAGTTTAATTCCTGGGTTGATGCTTGTAAATTGCTTATGGTGATTATCTTTGTTGCTATGATTTAGAACCCTTACAAAATGACTTCAGAGGTGTCTTCCAGGTGTAGCTGGATTTTTGGTTTTGAGTCTGTTGCAAGATCCTAGCTGTTCAATTTATTGGGGATGAGAAGTTGCTTCCTACTTGACCCAGTTCTTTGGCACTGGGCTATTGTACCTCTTCTGACCTTGGGCAATCTCACTCTTCCTGTACCAGGAAGATTAACTGATTAGCACAATAACGTCACCTTGGTCAAAGTAGTATAGTCAGTAGTAACAATAGCAATCAAACACAGTCTAGAAAATGACAAACTGTGATAATTGTTAATTTTCCATCTTTAACTGTATGAACTAGATTTGTAGTCAGAAAACAAAATCTAAAACAAACCAGGAAAATGTTTGCAGTGAATAAGCCTTCAATATAGTTAATTTATCCTCAGAGGAGAAAATTTGAAAGGAGTTAGGAGGGAAAATAAACAAATAAAAGAGGAAGCAATTAGAAGCAAAACTAGAAGGCAAAATAAGATCATGTACATTTTGGAAAACTGATGAAGGCAGGAGAGAAAGAGCAGAAAGAAACATAAACAAAAACAAAACAAACCAACAACAATAAAACTAGAAACCATATTCACACTCATATAAAATAAAGATAATCAATAAAAAAGCCAAAACAAAAGAAAGATAAAGAAAAGAGAAAAAAAATGTCCACTCCAGAGTATGTCTGGGCTGTCACTGATAGACAACCTGTGCAGATTGTAGCTGATAACTCCTAGCAAGCCAACCATAGCATTATGGGGGTAGTGGATAATCCCAGATTGCTTGCCCCTTTAGTTCCATGGAAGTTCAGGCTGGTTTCTGGCTTTGAGGATAGAACTGGACCTGTTGGGCCTGCAACA